CAGGGAGAGGTGAGGGCCTATGGCTCAGTTCCATTTCTCCCCAATATTGTTTTCCCTTACTGGCTTTCGCTGGAATCTGGAAGTCAGTTCTGTCCCCAGGCAGGGGGACAGATAGTCTTAACTAATGCCTAAGCAACCACTCACATTTATGTATTTGAATAAAGTTGTGGCCAAAATTATGCCAAAAACCTTAAACAAAAATTATGTGTGAGATGTGAGTTATTTGGGGGGTGGCTTGGGGACCTCAACATGCAACCCTTTATAGAATGCAGTTCCTTCCTTATGTCCTTTCTTTAATATACAACGTGCATTTGCAAACATTGCTAGACAGATTTTCCAAAAAGCAATGAAAACTCACTCTCCCAGAGCAGCTGCTTAGTAGCAAGATGACATAATTTGCTTTCCAACTAATTATTGCTGTATATGTGGAAAGGCTGATGACAGAACCAGGAAGGTATAAATGTGCCAGAGTCTGTTTGCAGAGGGGCTCACAGACCAAACCATTGCAAGTAGAGGACTACCCCATGAAAAGAAAAGGGGTGCAAGGCCTGGAAGGAAGAACAGAAGCTTCACAGAGAATTATGCCATGCCAAAGGTTAGTTGGGTGAGCAATCTGCCTCCTGGTCAAATAAGGAGAGTACAAAAAAGAGTAGGAGGGGCCACAGAGGAGTTTGCACCCCACTAGTAATGGAAAGTATTATCTCTGAAGTCCCTGCTTGGGCTGTAAATAGATACACTTTAATAAGCAGCATTTCCCAGCCCCATTGTTTGGGTTGGAGGGACTGAATTAATAAAACAAGTTTATGGCAGGGACTTGATGTATGTTTTGGACTGGTTAGATGACCCAGCTTTGATACTCACAACTTTTAAAAATAATGATAGTAGGTGCCTGACCAGGTGGAGCAGGAACAAGTGCTTTCAAGATACAGAAAACCAAGCCTCAGACATGCTAGAAGGTCTAAAGCAGAGATGCCAGCAAACATGACCAGTGCTCAGGGATGGTGGGAGCTGAACAACATCTGGCACGGGGGGACAGGACAGGACAGGCTCATCATCCCTTGTTTGAAGTGTTAGAATTTTCCTGCTGAATACAAACCCCAATCCAGCTTCCTAATTGTGAGGAGACTATATATGAAACCAACAATCTCACGTTAGGTTCTCAATATTCTGTAAGATGCTTACAACCAGGAAGTCAGGGAGTTTCTTAACACAATCTGCCTGATATACCTCAGCTCAGAGCCTTCCTTGCCTGCTCACCATGATACCACGGAACCGTCTTCTAGTCAGAAATAAATACCTTCTAGCCATAGCTTTTTGAACACATAGGGAGCTACTGAGGCTGATAAGATGCTGCCAAGTGTCACAACAAGAAATCGTCTGAAGTCCTGAGGGACAGTGATTCTTGACCAACAGGGTGAGTTGTCACTGTGATACAGCTATAATAGGGTAATGACCAGTTAATTATGAACCCACTAATCTTATGGTAATGAACTGGCTGAAAAGCCCTGGGCAATTCACTTTGCTTATGAAATATGGGTAGCATTCAAGACCTCTACTGTACAGCCTTCACTACCAGTGAGGGTTGAAAATTGCGAGCTGCTAATCATGACAAACATTCCTTCCAAATGTTATGTTCAAATAATGACTTCAGTTTGGTGGAAAGGGAAGCAAAAGCTTTATTACATACGTAATTTACAATGCACCACGAGATTAGACTATTACAATTACTAAAACCAATGCAAAACAAATGCTTGCTTAGATGGCTAATGAGTGGGTCTGCAAATGTAAACAATTACAAACACTCAATATGCATTAGAGAAGAAATCACTTAGAAGTGATGGATACTTCAAGCAATAGCAAAAACAGAACAGAGTTGAGAGAATAAAAGAAAAAAAGGAGATTGGAACTCTAGGAAAAAGGGGATAAAAAAAAATCACTCTTCTGAATGACAGAAAATCTCTACCTCATAAAAATCCAAGCTTTAGTTAGTGTCCACTGTGGGCATGTTTTAAGGCTTTTTATGTGGACAGTATGGCTATAGAACACCTAGAAGAGACAGTGGCTGCCATAGGTTTCTGTTATTCACCCAATACTGATACTGGATAAAATTCAGATGTTGAGCAATCATTTATTCACAAACTCTTCCCTACAGTTCCCCTTGTGATTTAGGGCCAAACCACATGTTACATTAACCATAGTTCTTCAAGTTTAGACATTACAGGCTGAGGGAGCTGTAGTTGATATAAAGGTAATATTGTGATCTCTTCCTCTGGTGCATAAAGAGGAGGAGAGTGGGAAAGGGAACGCACACTACTGTAGGCTTGTTCATGTTACAGGAAACCATAATTTAGTTTGGTAGGTTGGTATTAAAGAGATCAAATCCCATTTTCAAACAGACACTTCCTGTGTGTTCTTGGGACAACCACATGAGGATTATTGAAGCTATAATGCATTTATTTCAATGAGACTAATATGCACACAGATGAGCACTGGATTGTGGCCAGGTGTATAAATAGAAGCTCCATCCCAACATGAATGGCAAGAAGGCCGATAACAACATGGAACTGCTGAAGGTGTTTTGTAAAGAGGGGAAATATCAGGCTCATTTTGCAGCTACTCTTTTGTCATTTTGGGAATGCCAGACAAATTAAAGTAGCAGCAGATCTGCAACTTCAGTTGCTGGTGCTGTGTACTGGCAAGCACCCTTTGCCCCTGCCCAGCTGCTAGGGCCAAAGTGCAGCAGGGGACAATGGGGAGAACAGCAGGTGGGGAAAGACTGTGACGGTGGGTGGAAGAGTAGCAGCAAAATGACTCAAAAAGGTAAACATCAAAACAGGCTGGTATTGGTGGCAGCACAAACATGGCATTTCAACCTACTATTATTTACATAAATAAATATTATTTATTTATGATATAATATCTGATATCATATTTGTTACTTAACAGTCTGATGGGCTTATTATGATTACCGTATTTTTCGCCCCATAGGGTGCACCGGCCCATAGGACGCACCTAGTTTTTTTGGGGGGGGAATTATTTCCCCCCCAGGCGCGCAGCTGGGGCAGGTGAAGCCCGAGATTACCCCGACCCCAGCCCCCAGAACAGGCAGCTCTCCGCAAGCCTTGGGAGACCGGCGCGACTTCCGTCCTGGCTCCCACGCCTTGCGGATATCTGCCTGAAGCCCAAACCAGGTCGGGGGATAGCGGGAAGGCGTGCTCCACCTCCCCGCTGTCCCCCGAGCTTGTGGGGCTGGCGGTGGGGAGAAGCAGGGAGGTGGAACGCCACCATCCCACTGGCGCCTGACCTGCTTTGGAGGCTGGCGGCAGGGAGAAGCGCGCTTGCGGATATCTGCCTGAAGCCCAAACCAGGTTGGGGGACAGCGGGAAGGTGCGCTGCGTCTCCCCGCTGTCCCCTGAGCTTGTGGGGCTGGTGGCAGGGAGAAGCGCACTTCTCCCCGCCGCCAGCCTCCAAACCAGGTTGGGGGACAGTGGGATGGCGGCGTTCCGCCTCCCTGCTGTCCCCCGAGCTTGTGGGGCTGGCGGCAGAGAGAAGCGAGCTTGTCCCCGCCGCCAGCCTCCAAACCAGGTTGGGGAACCAAAGCCTGTTGCGCGCTGTGCAGCGCACCCCAGGCTTCAAGATGCAGGCTGCTATCCGCAAGCCTAGGGAGCCCGACGGGAACTCCCGCGAGCTCCCAAGGCTTTCAGAGAGCTTCCTGAAGCCTGGAGAGCGAGAGGGGTCGGTGCGCACCGACCCCTCTCGCTTTCCAGGCTTCAGTGAAAGCCTGCATTCGCCCCATAGGACACAGACACATTTCCCCTTCATTTTTGGAGGGGAAAAAGTGCGTCCTATAGAGCGAAAAATACGGTAAGTCTTTTTCTTAACTTATAAACTAAGAGGCTAGCTAATAGGACCTGAACAGCATGAGATCCTTCTTAACCCTGTGAACGCTGGACAATTCCTAACTATTAAGAAAGCAGCAAATATTGTATAGGTCCACACAGGGGCGTAGCAAGGGGGTGCAGGAGGTGCGTTCTGCCCCGGGTGTCTCCACTGAGGGGCGTGACAAAATGGTGGGCAGCACTCACTGCGGGGCCTGCAGTGCGCCCGAGCCACGCATCTCTCCTGGGAGTGATGTGGTGGCTTGGGCGCCCGCAGGCGCCGCACTGCCCAAACTTTCCTCCCGTTGCCTCCCCCTCAGCTGTAGGGCAGCTGAGTGGGAGGAGGCAGGCAGACTCCTCAGAGACACCGTGGTGCCCCTGTGCGCAGCTGGCCCCACCCCCGGGCGCAGGGCACCCCAGGCGCCTGATTGGCTTGCTCCACTGCTGGGTCCACATTCCATAACTTCATGGCAATCAAAAATATACCATATATTTAAAATAGATATATATTGGGAGTGACTGGGCATCCTTACTTTACAATTGGTACTTACACCAATATAGGGTTGTTATATTTCAAAGAGTAAAAATCTGGACACAAAAGAAGTACTTTTTTTGGCCAAAGTTGTTTGCAAAAGCTAAAATAAAAAATAAAAAAATGAGGTTTTGGGCTATTGTTAATGAAATTCACCAAAATCTGCACTTCCGACATGGGCTGCCATATGTTTGGATTTTCCCGGACATGGCAGCAATTTTCACCCAGACGCTGTTTAAGAGGGACGAATACCTGCTGTGTCCAGGAAATTCCAGACATATGGCAACCCTACACCAATAAATATGAGATATGGTAAACATTGAAATCTATAAGCCACACATTTCATCTCAATATGGTTTTGTTCCAAGAACTAGCAATATATTAGCTGTGTGGTCACAGGAAATATTTTAATTTCATATATGTCCCTATCATATTGGTTCAGAATCTGTTGGCTGCAATCTTACCTAGGAGTAAGACCCGCTGAATTCAATGGACCTTACATCCAAGTTGCCATCTATAGAACCTTGCTACTAACTCTGTAGCTTGCATTAAGTATGGCACATGTCTTTTTTCAAATGTGAAGTACTTACTCAATGAAGTAGACTTCTCCCTTCTCTGTGTAAGCCATCTCCCAATTGTCAGGCAATGGGCCCAATTCATCATTTTCTTCTGGTTTGGGTTGCTTTGTTACATCCATATCCTCTTTTACCTCTTCAGGTTGGCTATATACTGGTGCAGGATAAGGCTGTGAGGAAGTTTCACCTGAGGCACCTGTACTCTTCTCTTCATGCTCACTTGATTCTGCACAAGAGAAGAAGACATGCGTATCAAGATTCCTGTGCTATTGAAGTATCAATCGTAGTAATACAATAAAAAACCACAACAAAAAAAACCACCTGAAGTTTTCCCTGTGAAAATATTAAAACTAGGCTGAAGCAGGAAGAAATATAAAACAGGGGCAGTGGGCTGTACATTTTAATTTCATGTGCGCTCTCTGTGGGCCACGGTCCCACTAGTTTGGAGTATCACTTGTCCAAACCTCAAGAAAATAACCATGGCCTGGGTCTGTGCAATGGAACATGTGTGAGATACGATTAGACAGCTGCCTCATAGACTGTGGACCAACCCTAGTTAAGTCCCACCAAATTTTGGTGCATGAGGATTAAGAACACAGTGAATTGGAAGTTCTGATTCTGCTGAGCCACTTCATTGTGGGAAGGATCCTGTCAGCTATCCATGGTAAGGGTAGAATTCACATATGGAATATGGAACTTAAAGTCTAAAGACAAAAAATGCCTAGGTGCATATTTATTTTATTTCAAAAACTGATATTCCACAGATTTTCCCAATGAAATTCAAGGTGGCAAACACTCAAAGATCCACAACTGAATCTACAGTTCAACCAATTCATAAATCAAAACAACAGTATAAAAACCAGGATCACAGTAACGATTACAAAACAATTACGAAACAGTCACTAGAATTAAACACCAACATCAAATTCTCATGCAGCAATCAGATCCATTGCTGCATATTTTAGGAAGGACAAGTCATTTCCAATGACTAATTAAATTGCACAGGATTTAGAAAAAGATGGTACTCCTCCATTTTCTTCTGGTTCCAAAGGAAGAGAATCCCCAGGAGAGGAATATGAGTTCACAAGCTTTTTTATCTGATTAAAATCCACTTTGGGGTGGTGCTAAATGTTTACTGCTACACATGATAATTCTCCTGAAGTCCTGAGGGATTTCCTTTGGATATTTGCCTGGTCAGCAGCAATTATGAAGTGAAGGTAGCTTTTCCTCCAACTCCCTACCTCCCTAAAGCTATGTGATCTGATGGAGACAATCCATAGTTTAACTAACGGAAACAGGGGAGGAGTTGATATTTTTTGGTTTCACAAAAACTTCATTCTATTGCCTGGGTTCATTTAATCAAACCTTTTAAGTATACACATATATATCTAGACCTAGATCTATAATCTATATCTTTAATCTATATCTATCTATCTATCATCTATCTATCTATCTATCTATCTATCTATCTATCTATCTATCTATCTATCATCTATCTATCTATCTATCTATCTATCATTTATCTATCTAAAATCCAACAACTGGATAACTTAAGTCAATATATTAAACATAGGTCAAGTTTCCCATGATATAAAATGAGATTCTAAATTAATCCAGCTTCCTTCCTGTAACCAGAGGCAACGTTCTTACATCTTTAGGTGACCTACTTTCAAAAATTAAAATACTTCAAGCCTGGAGTATAAAAATAGTGCAAATCTGGTCTTCCCATGATAGTTTTTTTTCCCCATGAGAGAAAGTCAGTAGCTGATGACTTCCTAGACTAACATACACCCCAACAAGATATAAAAACACCCCAACAAGATGCTAGTCCTCATGCTTTTCACACTGCTGGTTCACAATTTAGTTGTCCAATGTTTTATAAAATTATCCATCCTTTGAATTGTCTATCATCTATAATAACAAGAACAAGAACAACACCTATGCATTAATATAGCGCTTCATATAAATTATCAAAGCACTTCTTATACATCCTGGCTGCAGGAACGGGAGGGGGGAAACCCGACTCCAGCCTTAGCCAACTCCACTGTGGTGGCCAGAAGAGGGGTGGTGGCAACAGGGGCTTCTTTTCCCTGGACGCAGCCAGGCTGCCTGCTGCTGAGAGCCAGTGTGGTGTAGTGGTTAAGAGCAGTAGTCTCGTAATCTGGGGAACCGGGTTCGTGTCTCCGCTCCTCCACATGCAGCTGCTGGGTGACCTTGGGCCAGTCACACTTCTCTGAAGTCTCTCAGCCCCACTCACCTCACAGAGTGTTTGTTGTGGGGGAGGAAGGGAAAGGAGAATGTTAGCTGCTTTGAGACTCCTTCGGGTAGTGATAAAGCGGGATATCAAATCCAAACTCCTCTGCAGCACCCACAACCTCGAAAGGAGCAATATCTGTGAAGCGCAATGGAGCAAAGCGGAATAAAATGAAGTGTGCCTATACATGTTACAGAGTAGTGGGAGGAGACTTGGTAGAGAGATACCATTTTCTGAAGCAGCCTCCTTTTATTTGTAATGTTTGAGTTTTGCTCTGGCTTCCATATAAGTGTGCCTAATCACTGCAGGCTTAGTCACTTGGACATCGCAGGGGACGGAGGCACAAGCTTAAAAGGAGGAGAAAATGCATCAGAATTGCTCTGTATATCTTAATGCAAATATTAGCTGTTTAGGAAAACCATCTTCCTCTTCATTGCTACAGAAATAAGGGTTGTATGTGTAGATAAAATTACATAAATGTGCTTTTGCAAGTCTTCCAGAAAATCCTCTGTTTCCCTACAGTGAGTAACATACTTGCTGCTTTCTCCTCCTTGCACACTTTTGAGTTGGGAGATGGGGAAGTGACTTCCATTTTGTTTCTCATCTCATCAGTCAAACTGCTAGCTAAAAGCTGACAGCAACCCCACGAACCTGACATTTTCCCCACAGTAGGCAACAGAAAGCATGACTGCAGCTAAGAACTGCAGGGAACAGAGGATGCTCAGCTGGCGTTCAAAATACTGCACAGAAGGGCAAAAGAAAGCAAGTTGAATTCCTTGGAAATAGGTCTCGCAATTAGGAGAGAGATCTTTCTAGTTGTGTAAAAAAGAGGTATGAAAATTGTCTCTCTGCTCCCACTTTGCATTCCTCTTGAAGATCCATTTGAGTATTTAAAGCATTTTAAACAATGGCATGACATTGGAATTACAACCTTGGAAATGAACCATCTGGCCTCTCTTGTCTCCCTTAAGGGACGACCACCTGAGAGAACAACACACACTATCAAAGAGTGAGTGCCATCAAAGTAAATGTCATAACTTAGGGTAAGCAATGTAATAGTTATTGCATAACAATATAAAATTAAAAGCAAAAAAATATATATGCTTGGATGTGAAAAACACCATAGTTAAGAATAAAGCAAATACAGTGGTACCTTGGTTTACGAACTTAATCCGTTCTGGAAGTCCGTTCTTAAACTGAAACTGTTCTTAAACCGAGGCGCGCTTTCCCTAATGAGGCCTCCCACCGCCGGTGCCCTTCCACCGTTCGGATTCTGTCCTTAGACTGAGGTAAAGTTCGCAAACCGGGACACTACTTCCGGTTTTGCGGAGTTCGTAAACCAAATAGTTTGTAAACAGGGCTGTTCTTAAACTGAGATACCACCGTAATGGCTTCCAATGACTCAACAAGCGAGTCAAAGCACACAACGTAAATGAAGGCAGTCCCCTGGCTGACAAATTGCCGTGCGCCACAAACCTAAGGAGGCTCACTGAGAAACAGTCCCCACACTATCCAACAAGGCATAGCCCCATGCAAGTGCATGGCGCCTTCATGATTTGTGATTCCTCCTCCCCAAATCTCTATGGCCTTATCAGAATTCCTTTCCTTTCCCACAAAACTGCTTGGGAACATCTAAGCAGAAACCTTAAAAAAAGAAAACTTGTTTCAGGTGAAATCCAGTAGCAACTTTATACCTTGGTTTTAGTCAGCTTTATCCACTGCATAATAAAGAGCAGCACAGCTCAACTAACAAACTGAATTAATGTTTTCTATTGATTCCTGGTAGGAGGTGTACACAAAAAAACACCTTAAATGAATTTCAGTTCTGTTACCCTTATCTTTTTGTGCTTCCTGCAGAATTCTTCACTTTTGCCTTCTTTAGTGGAAATTTGGTGGCCAAGAAAGGAACAGGGTGTCTCGTGGCTTCCCCCTTATGCATGGCAATGGCTTGTATGTACACCACTGTATACTTGTATCGGTCACGTTTTGTATGCATCTCTGTATGAGACTGGAAATCATTTTTATATATCAAATTGTTTTAATATATGAATTTGTTTTATTGTTGATGTCTTTATTGTTAAATCACTTCATGATATTTTACAGCAAGCCATTTATAGATGGAAATAAATAAACAAATGATACTTTATGGAGGTGGGGGGAATCATTCAAATTGAATGTGCTATTTTCCTCAAATGGAAAAAAGGAAGTCCTGTATTAAAAAAGCCATGTGTATATAATTTTTACAGTTCTTAAAGATTAGGTGCTGGATTTATTGTTTTTTATGTGCTGTATATTCAGAAGCTTTTAATGCAATGATTTATCCTTCAATCTATGCTTCGGGAAATAATATTTCACTCTTTTTATTGAAACTTCTTTTTTCAATAGGATTATTAGGTTCTAAATCACATATATTCTGTTTCTACGTAAGACAAATGAAACACCTATTTCCTACACATGAAAACTTAAGAGTTTTCAGAATCTTTTATGTGATGCACACTTTTGAACTGTTCAATTAATTTCTTACATTAAAAACAATTTTGTGATTAAAAGGCAGATTGAGAGACCCAATTCGATAACCTTCTTGACCTCCCTCAAGTATGAGGTAAACCAATACAGAAATGACTTGAATTCTTCCGAGCACAATGCAAGTATGGGCCAGAAAAGATTCTTGATGGCTAGAAACTATCAGAGAAGTAGGCAGCTGGGATAGACCACACCTGCACTTTAAACAACATGATCTCCAGACACAGTTCAAGACAGAAGCAGGGCAAAGCAGCAGTGTCTGTAATTGCAAGCCCTGACTTTGAGTCAATGAAATAATGGATTCTGGGGTCATATCCAAGTTTCAGCACCTGGCATCCGCCAAGGGCAGACTTTGATAATATGGCACCTTAAGCGAGGACAAAATTTGGCGCCCCCTAACTTTGAGTAGATAGGTTCTTGTATAAATTTAGGTTGTATCATCATTATCATCATCATCATGTGTCCCCTCAACTCGGTGCCCTGTGGGGTGGGGAACCACCCACAGCACCCTAAATCCAGCATTGCCAGTGGGCCCCACTGTTGTTGCCTGTTCTAAATCTCCCATTTAAAAAAAATGCCTGGCCTGGTCCTCTGAGCAGCACTGGGTGGCTCAGTTTAGCTATCATAAATTTCACGCCATGCTGCTTGCTGTAACGTCACTGCTCTTTTGCCTTTAGCTACAATGGCAAGGAGCTGAAATCCACGTGGGACATAGTAAGAGGAAAAGCACTGACCTGGTGTTATTACCATGTCGTTTCCATTGACGACAGCTCTTTCTTCCTCCTCTTCCTCTGGGGGCTCTATTCCAGTCTTCTCCATATTGCTCACCGACTTGTTTCTTTTGCGTTTGCCTTCAGCACTGGGTGTTGCACCGGGGAGTAACTGGTCTGTTACATTTAACAATAATGGGGTTGGCTCTGCTGGAGGCTTTGGAGTACCGTAGTAGTTGTCTAGGACAAAAAAAGAAAAGAAAAGAAAGAGGCCACAAATGGAGCTGTGTGAAAACTACCCATTTATTTCAGCATAGTTTTCAGCTTTGTCTCCTCTCAGACTTAGGTTTCCATGAAACATCTGTAGAGTGTTTTGGATATCTGAACCGAAAAAGCAGCTGCACAAGCTGTCGTGCGTGATAACCGAGGTCTGGCGCATGCATATCAACTAGTTCCTATCCTCTAGTTATAAAGAGGAATAAGTACAGGTTAAAGGGACGCGGGTGGCGCTGTGGGTTAAACCACAGAGCCTAGGACTTGCTGATCAGAAGGTCGGTGGTTTGAATCCCCATGACGGGGTGAGCTCCCGTTGCTCGGTCCCTGCTCCTGCCAACCTAGCAGTTCGAAAGCACGTCAAAGTGCAAGTAGATAAATAGGTACCAGAAACAGAGTACAGTGGTACCTCAGGTTACATATGCTTCAGGTTACATACGCTTCAGGTTACATACGCTTCAGGTTACAGACTCCGCTAACCCAGAAATATTACCTCAGGTTATGAACTTTGCTTCAGGATGAGAACAGAAATCGTGCTCTGGCGGCGTGGCAGCAGCAGGAAGCCCCATTAGCTAAAGTGGTGCTTCAGGTTAAGAACAGTTTCAGGTTAAGAACAGACCTCCGGAACGAATTAAGTACTTAATCTGAGGTACCACTGTACATTGCAGTAACCCAGTCTGGATTAGTAGAAGGTGAACAGATTACAGCTTTTTCAGAAGTGGTTGAGTCACTGCTGTTTTCAAGAAGTCTGGGATCACTTATTCCTGTAGGGATGCCTTTACCTAGGCCCATGGCACCTCCCCCTCAACATGCTTTAATAAGCCCAGAGGAGCCATGATTGGTGGGACACATGTTTGGTGCTTCACTGAAGGCACCTGGTCCACATCTGAAGGCCACATCAACTCAAACTAATTCCATGATGTTACAGTAGATGCAATGGACATTTCATAAATGAAATCAATAAATACATTTTAAATAGCCACTGCTAAGACAGATAGACAGAAAGGCACAATTTCACATTTATTTCAGCAAAACATTAATGTGTCAGAGAAAGTCACATGCAAAGTACTGAAAGGCAGTTAAAGTTCTCTAGAACCACTGAAGCAGGAGTGGCCCAAGAGATGTTCCCACAGGCTTTTAGGTATTGACTGCTTTTAATAAAAGGACTGGTGTCATGCTGTGTTTATTGCCATGATTTAAACAGATTTTATACATTCATTCATTCATTCATTCATTTATACCTCATATTTTAAGGAAATAAATAAATGTATGCTGTGGGACCTGAATTCCCACTCAGCATGGCCAAGGGTCAAGAATAATGGGAGCTGTATAGACCAGCAGTGTCTAGGGACCTCAGTTCAGCCACCCCTGCAATAAAACAGCAACTGAAAAATGGACAATTTGAAGTTAACACCAATGTTTTCATTATTGTTAATAGCAGAAGTAGTACCGGTATTTTGGGGAGAGCAGGGGGACATTCTCAGTGGCTTGGGCCATATAACAAGACCCCACCCCCTGGAAAATGATTGTTTATTAGCCATGTACATAACTATCCCTGGTTTGCATTCACTTTCTAAACATTTGGTAGGCTTTTTACCGGTTTATTATTAAGGTTATGTAATCATATTTTTTTTTTAATCCTTTCCTTCCTGTAATTTCATTCAGACACTTCTGTGTTCTGGGCAGAATTGTTAGCTGGTTGCAAATATTTCTTCTTCCTCACTGCAATACTTAATCATATGTGACTCCTCTAATGCATGCTACTCAGAATTGCTCTTGAAGGCGGTTTGGATGCTTGAGTGAGTGCAGAATATAGCAGTTTATCTGGTGACTACAGCATTTGACATAAATCTTCATTAATTCATTTATTCAGGCTGTTGGAATGTTTGGTTGGAATCGACCACACAAACTCTTCACCTGTGGTGGTGAGGGGGATGGAATCTGCTCCTTGAAACCAGAGCCTGCATTTTGTGGCCTGAGGGGCAGCTGTAGAGTGACCAGGGCTAGTGAAATTACTATGGCAAATGGGGCAGAAAAATCCCACGAGGGCATCTCCCCATGACAGCAGAAACACAACAATAATAAATTAAACAACTATTTGCTGCTCTTGTGTGACATCCTCTATCAGCTGCCTGAGGGGTTGCCTTCATTCGCCTGGTCTGGCTTGCAAGAAATAGCAAGAAAGTGGAACAGTTAACACTGAAATGAACACAGTAGTAGAATCTGCTGTTACCATGAGAAGTGGGAAGTATGACAACATAACAATAAGGCATTGAAAGTTCACTTTTCATCCTCAAGACAGTTAGCTGGATTTTTCCCTTTCAAAACTGAAAGAAGAACTGACATCGTAATCCACCAGCAATGGGCTGGATCCATTTGCTTATGCCAGTGAGGACAGATGTGCTGAAGTGGGGTTTTCCAGTGATGCTGGAGCTCTGCCAGAGAAAGCAGCTTTCAGTAATTTCTGGAGAGCCCTGATAAACAAGAGCTTAATGTAACTTTGGGCATCCATACTCTCCAACTGGCCTGCACACAACTTTGTGGGCTGTGCATTTTAGATATGCTTTCTGTTCCCAGACACCCCCCCCACACACCCAGAAGAGAGCAAGAACCACTCACTTGTCTGCTACTTCTTTAAAACAAAACAAAACACTCCACTTGTCATTTGAGAGGCCAGAATTCTTCTTTCATCCAACCGTGCATGTGTGTATTTTGGGCACCATTCTTCATCCGGACAGGGCTCCCAGAGCGGCTTACAAATGCCAACAGTAAAACATTTTAGGTTTAACATTTCATATTTTCATTACATCCTGGTTCTAGAGCCCTTTTGTCCCAGAATGTTCCCTAGTTCCTAAACAAACCCCAATTCATCCTCCGACACCATTCTCTCATCCATGCATTGTGACTAATGCAGTAGTCCCTTGGAGTAAGTTGCTAATTGCTTTGCTCTGCCACAGCTAGTGGCACCCTTTTGGTCAATTTGGCAGATGAAGAGGACTCTGATTGAGGCGCTGAGATTTTACCTTATGCATGACAAAAATATAAAGCATCTTCTAGATTGGAATGGATGTTTTCCTCACAACCAAATGATCAGAATAGGTAACAAGCCAATATCTGACACGTTCCTGTTCCTACATCTGGCTTTCTTCCATCTTTACTTTTCATTTCCCTTAGTTCAAAATTTTGATTGATTTCATCTTGATTTGAAAGATTTTAAAGAGCTGGAAACCTCTGTGGGTCTGACAGCCAGTCCTAGCATTTTATCATTGGTTATAAACTGTTCCTCAGTTCTAGGTACTCAGAAGCCATTTACAGGATGTGCTATGTACACAATTTCCAAACATTTGTTATCTTAAAATGTGCATAGTGCTTCCTGAAATGATCTCATTTGATTCCTCAGAACAAATGGACCATGAATTGCAGCCCAAACCTCTCAAAGTGATTTCCCATGCAGAATCTGGAGTCATATTTCAGTTTTCTGTGAGTGTTTCTCTGAAGCTGGAGAAGCAGAATTGGTGAAAGTCTTGTCTCAGTGGACAACATATTGACTATTTCCTCTTGTAAAGCTTTCAGTCAAATGTTATACAGATTGTGCCCAAAAAAAAGGTTGCCTCGAAGTGCAGGAGATTTGCTCAGAATTCAAAGTCCTTTGCAGTTTAAGCTTGAAATACTGTATAGCTGCATTTCTGTTAAATCAAACTGAAGTCATTTGGGATTATGCATGCAGAACCTCATAGAGGACTGCAGCCTCTGGACACAAGCCATTAAGATTCCATGTCTCTTTTGTAGAAAATGTATGCTTTTTGTGTATTTAGGGAAGTTTTTGATGACTAATGTTTTAATGTATTTTTAATCTTTTGTTGGCAGCCGCCCAGAGTGGCTGGGAAGACCCAGCTAGATGGGTGGGGTACAAATAATAAATTTATTATTATAATTATTCCACAATTTCCATTTTTCTCGGCAATCAGGCTTTTACTGGCAGACATTTAGTCCCACAGGGTTCAATGCAACAATCATTCCCAGTGGTTTTTACCTTAAGTAAATGTCATCATGAGTTAGAAACTGCCAAGCCAAATTACCAAAGCCCTGCTTAGTTTGGAGCATATGTGATTCAAGGAATCTGAAAACACTCTGCTTTCTTGGTGTAACATAAAAGCAGAGTTTTGTCCTGTTCCCTAAAGGTGTGCTTCTTGTCATTTGTGAATTAGCAGAGATGCTGAGACAATGTTGCTCTTAAAAATGAATGCCCTTTATTTTCTGGTAAGCATGCTTCGGTCCTTGTTAGCTATGTCAGAAAGTACAATTCTAATTATTTTTGTCAGCCTTGTCCCTAAATGTTTGGTAACAGTGCTGAGTGCCCTTTAAGATCTAGGATTATTTACTGCCCTTGCACCCCGTAAATACAAGATTGCATCATGCCGTTTTATGAACACATGATGAAGAAAGCCCCAAACTACCAAAAACTTTCCCCCCTTCTTAAAGTTGCACGTCACTATAGAGCTCCAACTTCTCACAGGGCTTCAGACTAGTTTCCAAAAACTAGATTATTATTGCTTGTAGTGCAAAGGCTTCCTGACATTAAACCATTTCAATCTGATACCTGCCTGATTTCAAAAGGGAGAGAGTTCCATAGAGTTGGGCCCACTGAAGACACAACTCCTTGTTGACGCTTCTGGTCCATGGATAGGGAGCGTTAACATTGCCTCCCCAGGTGATTTCGTTCATTGACCAGGGGCATACAGGATAAAATAGTCCTTAAGGTATCCTGGGCTTAAATTGCCGAGGACTTAGCTCCCAGTGGCACGGCAAGAGCAATGGTCCAACAAAATGACCAGTTTTTGTACTGTACAGCACCAAGTTAGCTTGAATATACTAACAAGGCCAGAGGAGCTTGTTTCCAAGTAGACATGTATAGAAGTGTTCTGTTAACATATTTTTGTTTAAGACCTAGTCACAGAATGAAGTGTACTAGACATAGATCTAGATCTAGATTAAAGAACACCAGTCACTAAGAGTATGAGTTGCCATTTGTTATACTTTTTATCATGGTTTTGGGCCAGGATCCAAAGATAACTACTTTTCACATGCCAGGTGGGTTTTCTTATGATTCTTGCAGTCTACTATCCCCAGACAGCACACTGTTATTCAAAAAGCACCACTGGGCATCAAAGGGTAGCGTAGTGCAACTGGTATGGTCGCACTGTGTGTCATGCTGCAAGGGCTGCCAAAACAATGCTGTAGAACGGAGTGTGAGAGGTGGGGTGTGTGTGTGCTGAATTTTAGCATCACACAGGGCAATGCTGAAATTTGAAAGCCCCAAATCCACCACTATGAGCATGCTCTGGCCTTCAGGCACACCTAAAGCATCTCCTTGGATTCTGCCTACAATCTAAATAGTACAACTGATGAGAAAGCTGTTGAGTCTTGCAGCACAACACAAGGAGAAAAACAAAATGTAGAGCTTCTAAGGGATGGAGAGCATGTAAGGCGATCAGTAATAGAAAGAGGATTAGTTTAATGAATAAATTGGGATTACGATGTGATTTCCTATTAGCCTCTACTAATGTTCTATAAGCACTTAGATCAATATCTCCAATGCAAGTGGAATGGCATGCAAGAATTTGCTAACTAAGAGACCAAAAAGTGATCTCTTTCATCAAGGGCAACCAAATGTTTTTGAAGTTTAAGACAGTCACACAGTCAGTGCAGATTGGAATCAATGTCCATGGCAGATTAATGCTTCTTATCTTTGGTTTCTCATTGACAAGCCATTTTGCCTGGGGCTGATTGCATTTCTTGTCTCATCTCCCACCCTGTTTTCTTGGACACATGCAATTTTGATACATTTTCACTGAAACTTTTGTCCGCTGGCTACTGGAAACAAACACTATCAGTTCTATAAATTCTTCTTGATGCAATGGTTTGCAGGCCTGTTTCTGCAAATGTATCTATTGCAGCACAAGCACACATCTAATCTGGAGGCCCCTGTTTAGGTCTGAAAGGTGGCCCTGGAATGCTCTTGCTTCTAAATGAATGAATGAATGAGCTGGAAAGGCTGGAGGGACATTCTTTGTTCAACTCTGGTTTGTATAAACAAGTGTACAAAATAAACTCCTAAATGGGGCAAGTAAACACAGAGTAGGGATGAACAGAATTCAGACTTGAGGCATCTGCTTGGTTTCTTTTTTTTCTATTTAGCTAGAGCCAGGGGCAAAAGATATACACTTAGAATGGTTGCGGACAATTCCTGGGCCCACCTCTGCACTGGTTCCACTCCCCGGCCAAATTTGTGGGCCTTGTATACATGAGGAGCACCAGTGGTGAAAGGGATGGGCAGGCACACAGTGCAGGCAAAATACTTTGATTCATGATGGATACAACTTGATGGGAATTCACTCATGGCTACTTAACGAGGAGTGGGGAAGGCAAAACATGAGACCGTTATCCCTATTAGCATTTAGTGTTTCATAGCTTTATTTTATAGCTCAGTGGCAAAGCTTATCATCTGCATGCAGAAAATCCTGGGCCACACACTAAACTGGTGATCTTGGTGTCTCCACTTCAGGTAAGAAGAATGGACAAGACTTTACCTAGGAGAGTGACTTGCCACAGTCCTGAGCTCGATGGACTAACAAGTCAGCTTCATGTAATGTTCCTGGTTTTAATCTAAAAACTCTATAGGAAGATGGTAAAGGCATGTAAAAATGATGCACTGCTTATACCTTATGCTTGTAAAATTAAGTACACCACAACTATTCTGCTGTGTGCTAGAGATGTAAATTACGCTACAGGTATGATTCTCCTTTGGTGGCACTGTGAAAAAATTGTGGCAAATTTGATCACAGTAAACGATATTTTAAATACGACTTTAGACTTCATAGTAACCATAATTCCATTGCTGGTTTTATTTGGATTAATTAAAGGTGTGCATCCCCTCATATTAAAAAATAGATCTGATTTGTCTGCTGACTAATATAGCTAGAAATTGAGATTTAACTAAAATTGAATTAAAAAAATGGAATTTGGTTGAAATGAATGTTGCCTTAGTTAAAGAAAATGAAGCTGGAATTACTCCTAAGACATAATTTGGCAAACTCCAGGACTTGCTCGAATCAAGCAAAAATATCATGCCAAATTGTCAAAGGCCAGGATGAAAAGGTGCATCTTCAGCATGTGACAGAAATTACATCATGAAGGTGCCAAATGCCACTTTGTGAGGAGGGTTTTCAGGGGCCGCCATGGAGAAGGCTCTCTCCTGCACTCCCCTCCTCCCCTCCACAGACTTCTGAGTGCAGTGGAAGAACCAATTGGCAGCTCCTCTGCTGATCTTAACAAGAAGGTTTGTAAGGCGGGCAGTGGTCTTTCAGGTATTTGGGACCAAACCTCTTTAAGGGTATTTTGGAGTGTGTGTGTTTGTGTGTTTTACACTTTTGGGAAAAAAAAATTATCCTCAGAAAAATATAAATAACATAGCTTACAGCATAGATGAAAATCACTTCCAGAGACTAACGGGGACAGCAAAAATTACACAGGAATTGCTCTCTTTAAAGTACTATATAAAGATACCAAGTGTTACTCTTACTGTTATTACAGCATAAATAAAGAACTGTGAGTTCTACAAAGTAGCATACTGAGATGATGGCGTTACATCGTTCTTTTTCTTATTCATAAACAGGAAAAGATCAAACCACCTATAAAAGTTAGAGGTTTTTAAACAAAAGTTACTTTGCACTTCTTTCCATTTCTTTGCAGCATCAACATGAATTGTTGGTTATACATCAAATTACACTAATGCAGGTGTTTAATCAACTAAAATGCATTTAACAATTGACTGTTCTAGTTTTTCAGGATTGAAACCAATCAGTGACATGGACTGCAGCAACAGGGTTACGTAAACGAAATAAAATATTTTATGATGGCACAAATGCGTGAATTATTTTTTTTATTAGATTAGCATACTGCCCCATACTCATAGATCTCAGGGTGGTTCACAACACAAAATCACAATGTAAAAAACACAAAATCTGGTAGCTTCAGCAATAAGTTGCCTTGAGAAAAGTCAGCAGCAGATCTGGGGACGGGGTGTGTGTGTGTGTGTGTGACTATATAAGACTGTGGCATGGGATTGACCCTTTTGTGCCACCTGACCCCCCACCCTAGGAGGCCTTGGGGCTGCTGTGCTGGTGCCCCAGCTTGAACAGCCCACAGTTTGGTCCTTCGAACAGCAGTCCCAGGTAATCCACAGAGCACCTGATATGCAGAGCCTCTGGCTCCAGCTACACAGCACTTGACAGAACAATAGTATTGTGACTGCAAATCCTTCAACGGTTTTTGTATACGCATTTATTACTGTTTTAGAATGGCACTTCTATTGGGATGATTAATTGGTTTACACAGTGCCTTTCTAATATTCATATTATCTATTCTCTCTCAAAAGCTAAAACAAATTCCTCAGTCAATCAGCGAAATTATTAAGTAGAAGCATCTGTATACTCCTTTCTCGTAATATTTATTTGGCTCAAAACGGGGGGGGGGGGGTTGAGTTAGCTTTCCCCTTAAAATATTTTCAAATATTTTAAATTGCTTTCCAGAGGAAATTGAAATGTACTGTACATGTACAAATATTTGATCATTTAAACAGAAATCTATCAAATGCAAGAGTGCTGTTAAAATGTTAATAAGGCACAAAAAGGTCCGTATAGTTAAAGCTATGGTTTTCCCAATAGAGATGTATGAAGTGAGAGCTGGACCATAAAGAAGGCTGATTGCCGAAGAATGGGTGCTTTTGAATTATGGTGCTGGAAGAGACTCTTGAGAGTCCCATGGACTGCAAGAAGATCAAACCTCTCCATTCTTAAGGAAATCAGCCCTGAGTGCTCACTGGAAGGACAGATCCTGAAGCTGAGGCTCCAATACTTTGGCCACATCATGAGAAGAGAAGACTCCCTGGAAAAGACCCTGATGTTGGGAAAGATGGAGGGCACAAGGAGAAGGGGGCGACAGAAGACGAGATGGTTGGACAGTGTTCTCGAAGCTACCAGCATGAGTTTGACCAAACTGCGGGAGGCAGTGGAAGACAGGAGTGCCTGGCGTGCTCTGGTTCATGGGGTCACAAAGAGTCGGACAAGACTAAACAACAACTGACTTTTCTCAGCAATTTCATTTTCATTAGGTCATTTGGGTCATGATCAATTTTCTGTGGTCCAATAACATTAGGAGGGCCAAGTAAATGTCAAGTCCTGTGTATGTTGCTAGTGCCTGCTGGTGCTCTGTGAACCATTTTTTTCCTGGGCTCTGCACAGTGTGATGGCTGTGAGTGTGGCTGTTAAGCAAATATGATGTTCCTCCTTTTGTAAGACTCTATTGCCAGCTTGGGCTCTGCAAACCATTTTCTTTCTTTGTATGCTGACGGCCTGTTGCTGAGATTATTATTTTCTATCTTACAAGCATGGGCTGCCCTCTTGTTTTTCACCTTTTGTTCTTGTCTTGTCTTCTCCCCTAGGTTTTCCTTGTATTACCAGTCTCCTTCTTTGCTTATGCTTTCTGATGGTAGGTTTTCCTTCACATGAACACATGAACACCAAGATTCAATAAATTATCCTCATATTTTTTTTCTTGTGGTTTACTTAACTATCTACCTTTGGTCAACCACTAAGTAAGGTTTTGGAAATATGGAAAAAAAATATGGACAAATTGGGCAGAAAGAGGAAATGTGTTTTCCTCTTTCTATATCTATGAGGGGTGAGATGAATGCCCCTGGTGACTTAAGGAGGAAGACTGTTCAGGAATCCAAAACATTGTAAAGGGCTTTTTTTGGAGGGGGGAGTTAACTTATATGTTATTAATTTGACCAATAAGAAGGACTTTGCAGATCAAATTGCCTTGGATTTTAATGTCTTTTCTCACTAACCTGCAAATAAATTAGCAATGTCCTGTGCAAGTGAAAGGATGTTCTTTGGTTTCTGAGTGCTCATAACAGCTATATGACAGACCATGCATGCTGCAACTTGTCTGTGTTAGGCCTGGCAGATCACAGTAGGCTGAAGATGAAGAAATCAATTTCTCTACTGCAAAGTTGATGAGAACACTTCAGTGTGAATGCAATCTTCCTGACCAGACATGATATGGTCATATACAGTACTCAAGGGTATGCAGTACCGGCACCTCTTTTTTGTTGTTAAAATGTGTGGCACTTACTATAACAACTTCATGGGGGGAAAGCACTGGTCATGTACTTGAGAGGTCAATATGGACTATGGACTCAGCTATACAGCTGCAAATATAATGGTTTAAGCGTGTTTTAAGTGCATTATACAAATGTGACACTAGATGGCAATGGTGAGCTTATGGTAAATTCAATATATTTTTCAAAATGTTTTTTTAAAAAAGCATTTCCACAGCGTTTTTTATATGGGTCTAGATTCCACCCCTGTCTCAGAAAGGAAAATATTTTGAATTACAGTGGTACCTCGTGTTATGTCTGTAACGTGAAAAGCCCGCAACTCGAAGCACTGCATCTGCACAGGCGCGGGGCATGATTTGGTGCTTCTGTGCATGCGCGAAGCGTGATTTAGAGCTTCTGTGCATGTATGAGTGGCAAAACCTGGAAGTAACCCATTCCAGTACTTCCGGGTTGCTGTGGGACACAAGACGAAAACACGCAACCTGAAGCGGGTGCAACTTGAGGTATGACTGTACAGGATCCACAGACAATGATCCTTGGTCACTTGGAAAATACACAACAGACAGTGGGCTTGTTCAGATGCAACAGACAATCTAACATGTGCTCTGTTTCCCTCCCTAACTTTCTGGTTAGGGAAAAATCATAGTGTATTGTTAGACTACAGAACTATAGCATGTGCTTGCCCTCCAAGCCAGGTTTGGTAAACATGGTCCAAAGTGCATCTTGTTTTGGAAGGCAAGCATAAGCTACAGTTTGCCAGTTTGAACCTAACAGCAAGCTTTGGTTTACCTAACCATAAAGCCAGGAAGAGAACTGGAGCAAGTGAAAGCTGTACAGAAGGGAAAGGTGGAGTATATGAAGCAAAGGCTGGGAATAAATGGTGAAACCATGGCATGTGAAGCCAGGAAAAGCTTTGCTTGAAGTTGTGTTCATTCAGATAGGCCTTTCCTGAGGGGTGATCCCAGCCATGCCCACTGTCATGAAACAGCAGAGTAATGTTTCATATTGTCTGGTGTGCTCTCATTATTATTTCATACGATTTGCTCTTGTAAACCCTGTTACACATTGCTTTGAAATTTATTTGCAAATAAATACATCCAGTTAAAAATGCCAGAATGTAAGCTATGCAGGCAGAAGCAGATGGCATGATGGCCACGCTGAGTTCTGCTGCTGCCTACTGGAATGGTGAAGGACAAAGGGGACACAGCTGTGAGGTCAGCATTCTGCAACCACACCAGCAGAGCCAGTTAGATGCTCCTGCTGCCACGTTCACAACAGGGTGTGTATACTCTTGACTAGCTGTGGAATTACATGCAGAGGTGTCTTCCCACTTTACTGATATCTTTGCACTGGAGATACTGGAGACTGAACTTAAAACCTCATGTGTGCAAAGCACATGCTATATTTAGGGAGCTACAGACCCCTCCCTACAATCTTTCTGTCAAGAAGATGAGGATGGGGGACCTGTGGCCCTCCATCTGCTGCTGTTCTCCAGTTTCCATAAGCCCCAGCCAGCCTGGCTTGTGCTCAGGGATGATGGGAGTCGAAGTGTAGCAACATCTGGAGGACCACAAGTTTCCCATCCCTGACGTAGGAACTGATCTGAACATGCAAGAGATCTATTGAGCAGGTTTGATGAGGTAACTGCTTGGTCTGCTTTCCACACCCTATCTGTTTTCTAGCTTCTTTTCACTCCTGACACTATATGTTATGCCCTAAGATCTCACATTCACCTAGTAAATTGCCTTCAAAGTCATGAAATGCTTGTGTCCAATTTGTTAACTCACAGTAAATCTGTGTGATTAAATGGGTGAGTCTTTGTGAGGTATTTCACTTCGTGCTACATGCTGTTTTCCTTCTCCAAGTTGCTGTATGCCCTCAGAAGATACTGAATTCCTTTGTGAATTTTCTGACAAATGATATTTACCACTTTCGCAAAGTCAAGTACATCCTGCTCACTAGACAGCACTCTGAGGAAGTTATTTCTGGTTTAGCTAAAACCTCAGTGATGGCAAGAAATCCAGGCTTTTAAAAAGTCAGACTTTATATTGGGTTTTTATGCAAGTCAACAATATTCTAGAAAATCCAGAACAATTAATGACTGGCACAAGAAATCATCATCCTCTTTAGGAAATGTTCTGGAAGCTTATTTCTTTTCCTGTCTTTCCCTTTTATTGTCCCTGATATTTATTACAGCTTACATAATTATATAATGTGTGTGCCCCATATATCAGTTTTCTACCTTTTACTATATATTTTAGAAATATATAATTATGCATTAAGGATCAGGTTTCATCTATGTTTGGATACAATTAGACATAATCTTGAATCAAGATGACCAGCTGAACCTTTCAAAACTGCACTAATTTTAAAAGTGGATTTCAAATTTGCACTGATTTTTTTAAAAGTTTCTTAAACACCAAGTAGTATTAATTATGTGTTAAATTAATTGATTTGTCATTCCCCCCCCCCCCACCTTCACATCTTTTCCATTTTTGCCAGACAGAAGAAGAGATCAAACTGGGACCTTTGTTCTTTTATGAAGCAACTACAACAACAGTGACAAGTGATTAAATAAGTCAGTGTAATATCATGGATAGATTTATAATTTAAAAAAGAGAGACCTGAGTCCAAGTCCTAAGTCAACCATGAAGCTCACTGGATGATATATTGAGACACTCACCTTCTTTCTACATCAACAAGTCATTACAAGGATAAAGATGAAATCCACCTCCATGTAGACTATGCTGAGCTCCTTAGCATAAAAATGTAGCATGAAAACAAACAAAACAAAACAAAACAAAACAAAACACCATTGCACAATTATTTCATATCCACCTTGCATTTTATACTGCCTTTCCACTTGTCAGCTACTGCCGCCTTTGGTGTTACATTCCTATTCCCATGTTTATGTATGCCCCCTTCAAACTTCCCTAGTGTCTCCTTGCAATCCAAAATTTCCTGCTGTTGCCCCTTTGTTGGTGTCCATGCCTGTGTCTTACTAATCAAGAGATCAACAACAAATCTAGAGCTAGCATTGCTCCATTATGAGTCAGGCAATGATGTGCTACTTTCTGGGAGAGTGGGATTCTGCTTTAAGAATGGGTATTTTGCATTTCTAGACCAAACAGCATGCTCCTTCCAGGGAGTTGTCTGTTTTGCAGCTTTCTTATGGCCAAAAGCACATTAGGCAGAGGTGTGCATATGAAGTTCGGGTCTCCTCACACAGCAAAACAAGACCACTTAAAAATCTGGAAGTTGTACAACCAAATCCACAATTCCATGCCTGTATGAAAAAAGGAAATAAATAATATGCTCATGGCCACACTAAGAGAGAATGCCAGTTGCCCATCTTCTTGGAGCTCCTTGTCTTTCTGAAGCTAATGTTGTACCTGCTCAAGGCATAATTATATTTTCTTTCAAAAGGTCACTAAAAAAATTATTTAGTGGGTATTCACAAAGTGGGAGGCTGTCATTTATAATTCAAATGAGCTGACATGCAAAGCATTTAAATCAGCATATAAGTTATGGTATTGCTGAAATAGCAAGGCCTATGTCTAATCTTTCTGATTAAGGATATTTAAATACATTATCCAAACTGCTGGATCGTCCACCCAAAAAAATCCTTCGGAAGAGCTACCGTATTTTTCGCCCTATAAGACGCACTTTCCCCCCTCCAAATATGAAGGGGAAATGTGTGTGCGTCTTATGGGGCGAATGCAGGCTCCTTGGCTTCAGCGATAGCAATGCGAAGCCTCCGAAGCCTGTGCTCCAGAGGCTTTGCGTTGCTTCTGCTGAAGCCAGGAGAGTCTGCTCTTTGAGGCTGGCGGTGGGGGAAAGCAGCGCTTCCCCCATCGCCAGCCCCAGAGGATGGGGGGCAGCGGGAAGGCGCGCGACACCTTCCCGCTACTCTCCAACCCGGCTTTGAGGCTGGCGGTGGGGAAAGCAGCGCTTCCCCCATCGCCAGCCCCAGAGGATGGGGGGCAGCGGGAAGGCACGCGACGCCTTCCCGCTACTCTCCAACCCTCCTGCGGGCTTTTGCGGGAGATGGGGGAATTCCCCCACCTCCCACAAAAGCAGGCAAAAGCCGCATGCTCTTTAAAGGAGCTCCGCGGCTTCTGCTGGCTTTTCTAGGAGGTGGGGGAATTCCCCCACCTCGTAGAAAAGCCCGTAGGAGCCGCGCAGCCTTTAAAGAGTGCGCCGCTCTTGGGGGCTTTTCCCCGAGGAGGGAGAGGGGACTGACTGGCCATTTCAGTCCCTTTTCCCTCCCGGTCGAAAAGTCCGTAGGAGTCGCGCACGGCTCCTGTGGGCTTTTGTGGGAGGTGGGGGAATTCCACCACCTCCTGCAAAAGCAGGGAGAAGGTCTTGGAGTAGCGCACAGGCTGCGTGCAGCCTGTCCGCTGCTCCCAGAGCTGAGGGGGGAAAATCATATTTCTTCCCTTGATTTCCCCCCCTGAAAACTTGGTGCGTCCTATGGGCCGGTGCGTCCAATAGGGCGAAAAATACGGTAATTTAAATTATTAAGTGGGATGGGTGGTGGAATAGATTTTTCAATGTTCCACAAATCAGAAAATGTAAACCAATAAAAAAGGAGTATAAAGCATTACCACCACTTGTAAACTATTTATTAGATGATAAACTCTGCAATTTACATTTGCTGGAAATTACACATTATAATTCTGTTTTTTAAAAAAATACCTTCGATCAGCACATCTCTCAGAGTTGTACTTTCTGGGTTGTTTGCTTGAGATAAAACTAACAGTGAGATGAACCCATTGCTGGCTCCGGTTTCTGGCCAGGCCTTAGGCAAGATTCTTTCAGCGTGGACCTGTCTCCTCTTTGTTGCCATTGTCACCAACTGATGCCTTCCTGCTTGCTTCCCAAGGGGAAAGTTGGCAAGGGAGTAAGTAAGGAAGCAGAAGCTGATACTTCTCCTTACCTCTAGGTTGGAGGGAAAGGCAAAGGAGTAGCAAGGATCAGCAGAAGTCTGGGAGCTCTTAGCCATTGGGCCCCTGCAAAGGTGTATTTCAGTGACTGCCCAGTCAGGCCAACGGCTGATGCCTGTCCCAGATAAACCTCAAATAAAGCTGTACACATCAGCACTGCAATACCTCAAGGACTGCCTCTCTCCATATTAACTGACCTGGACCCTGTGATCTTCATCTGAGGCCCTTCTTCATGTGCCTTCTCCACAGGAGGTCCAGAGGGTGACATCACAAGAACAAGCCCTTTTTGCAGTGGCTCCTTGCTTGTGGAGTGCTCTTCCCAGGGAGGCTCGCCTGGCGCCTTCATTACATATCTTTAGGTGCCAGGCAAAAACATTCCTCTTCTCCCAGGCTTTTGGTGAAATAAACTATCTATGGCCTTTTAAATTGTGGGGTTTTTATTGTTTTGTTTGTTACTATGTTGTATATTTTTGTGTTTTTATATTGTAAACCTGTGATCCTCAGATGAAGGGCAATAGAAAAAATCAAGAAATAATAAAATACTAATAATTTCAGTTTGAAATTATTATTATTTTATTATTTCTTGAATTTTTCTATCGCCGTTCATCTGAGGATCACAGGTCACCTCATGAGAAGAGAAGACTCCCTGGAAAAGACCCTGATGTTGGGAAAGATGGAGGGCACAAGGAGAAGGGGACGACAGAGGACGAGATGGTTGGATAGTGTTCTCGAAGCTACAAACATGAGTCTGACCAAACTGCGGAAGGCAGTGGAAGACAGGAGTGCCTGGCGTGTTCTGGTCCATGGGGTCATGAAGAGTCGGACACGACTAAATGACTAAACAACAACAACAACAATTTCAGTTTGAAAGAGAGTGGCCATGTGTCCTATTTTACAGAGGACACTTCTCTATTTGAAAGAGTTTTCTCTTTGAAGAGCTGTCTAGTGCAAGTCCAATTTAAAGACATGAGAGAGAGACATGAGGCTTTTTTCCGGTTAGGAGGCTGATCTTACTCAGGAGAAGGGAGTTACTGAAACCACGCTTTGATTCAGGAATGTGGAAGGACCCACAATACAGTCTCATGTTGCATTGTGCATACAAGAACTCTTTGATCTTCATCAACAAAGCACACCTTATTCATCTGTTTGCAAGTAACCTATAACTACCACGTTCTACTGTAGAATGGGTAACTTTACTGGAAAATTGGAAGCACTACCTTACAAAGCAGATATTTCTATCCAATTGCCTACCATGTGTTAGTTATAGGATGACCAGGTGTAAAAGAGGACAAGGTTCCTTCTGCACCTTCAATAGTTAGGTAGAAGAGGAAATTTCAGCAAATGTATATTGTTACACAACAACAGTGAATTGTGCAGAAGCTCTGCCTATATTTGCTTGTGCATATTGCAACATAAGGCTGCCTACTTTCACCAAGAAAACTGTATGGCAGAAAGGAATACAGATAGTGATGGACTTGTGCTGGTTCAAGTTATGGAGCCTGTCATTAACTAACAGTAGGATAATGTGTCTGGAAAAGCAGCAATCTTTCTCCAAGATACATCTGATGGCATCAAGAAGCTTTCATCTCCATTCATTTAATGAAGACAAATGCACACACCTCAACACTGCTCAGCATTCTAAGGTACCCGGAGTCTCAGGTCACTAGATAGTTTTGGAAACACTTTACACAAGCCTTTCTTTATTTACAATAAGCACTGAGATTTCATTAATTCCACTTTTCATCCCCTGACACCCTGCTGCGAAGTTGTCTTTCGGCAAGCCAGACTCAAAGTGACACAGATGTCCCATGCACTGAAATAAAAAGGAAGTGGTTTCCTAGGCAACAATAATGGCACAAAAGCGCTCTGAATTTACTCTCTTGCTCATGCAGGGCTCGAGTAATCCAAACAGTACAGAAGAATAAGAAGAAGCATCTGATCTGAATGTACGGCAATGGAGAGAGTCAGTGAGAAAGAGAAAAGGTATGTGTATTTCTGTGTCTGCATGTGCGTTTGTGTGCGTTTGATTGATAAACCAATTTGCTTCTGAAGGGAGTCATTTGCAGTGGCTTTTTTAAAAATCAAAACAGGGTGCAAAGAATATCCTCATATTACATTCCAGCCATACCAAGATTAGACAACAATAGGTAAGCAGGAGCAATGCAGTCCTTGGATGTTGCCTTGGAAAAGCGCCAGGCAGGGGGCTGTTGTAAAAGGCAGCTAAACTCTAATGGATTTTATGCATAATGGAAGAGATTGGCCAATTTAACTTTTCAAAGAATCCTGATGACTTTGTGGTTTTGGAGCTCTCAGTGGTACTTGCCCTTCATGCCCTAGAGATTTAATAAGAGCATGCTATACTTCCTTTAAAAACAACAACAACAACAACAAAGTATCAGTATAAAACCCTTTTTCATTTGAAGGAATTTGGCAATTAAGTGCAACTATTGGGAGGGGTGGCGGCAAAGTTTGGTCAGTAAATTGTTGGTCTTTGGTATATATGGTATCTATTTATATATAACCATTGAACTTTGACAAGCAATATTTCAGGTAGGGTAGTGATGAGGAGATCCAAGGGTCTTGACAGAAAGACACAACTGTTGACTATGTGTAGATGTGAGCTTAGCCACACATCTGCTATAGTTTTAAGAATAAATCACAGTGCCCTCCATCTGTTAGTTGTAGCTGTACAAAGCTCAAGGACCTTTAGGAGTCAGGGAGAAGAGAGCTATATTGTCATACAAACTACACCTTCCCTCTTCTGCACCATCCATCCTACACTCTTTTCTACCCGGCCCTCCAGTTAACTGCAAGACAAACAGGGAATTTAAAATTTCAATGTATGGAAGGAAACAAAAACCCTTAGGTTTTTCCAGAGATACTTGCCTGTAACCACTTCATGAAAAACAAATACTTCATAGGTGGCCTATATTTTGAACATGCTTATCGTTTTATACCAAAAGGTGGTATAAAAATACTTGAAACAAATCAACCTTCAATTCAAAAATAGACTTTGGGGCTTCAACCCTTCTCTTTCTCTTTCCCCGTTAAATACCTGTCTTTCTGACACAGAGATAAAGAAGTGCTTAGCAGACAGTGAACACTGATATCACTCTTCAGTTTAGTGGCTTACATTTCAAAGCCATGTAAGCATATAGTTCTGAGAAGAAGAATGCTTAATTACATGGAAGATGAAAGTACTAGTTGGGCAGACATTACAGTGAATAATTTGTTTACCGTTTGGCTGAAAGTCAATACTATAGGAAAAGGGGAATATCACAATCATTTATAAGTATTTAAGAGCTGTAGATTCATCTGCAGATTGCTGCCATTATACGAGTACTTCCCAGTTTATAAGGGGCAGATAGGGCTCATCAACCTTGGAAAGCAGCCCATCTTCCAGCAACTCCTGCAGCCAAGCTGGTGCCAAACGCATTGCTCTGCTTTCATTTGGACCATATCAGTGAGGCCAAGAAGGGGTTCTTATTGTCTGGGCAGCCCAAGCCCAAGACCTCCATACCCAGTTACCCAGGCTTGTGCCATGGTAACTTTGGTCACTAACACAGCAGCTTGATTTCACCCCTGGAAGCACACTCCATTGTCTCTAAAGATAGATAAAGGTAAAGGGACCCCTGACCATTAGGTCCAGTCGTGACTGACTCTGGGGTTGCGGCCTCATCTTGCTTTATTGGCTGAGGGAGCCGGCGTACAGCTTCTGGGTCATGTGGCCAGCATGACTAAGCCGCTTCTGGCGAACCAGAGCAGCGCACGGAAACGCCGTTTACCTTCCCGCCGGAGCGGTACCTATTTATCTATTTGCACTTTGACGTGCTTTCGAACTGCTAGGTTGGCAGGAGCAGGGACCGAGCAACAGGAGCTCACCCCGTCGCGGGGATTCGAACCGCCGACCTTCTGATCGGCAAGTCCTAGGCTCTGTGGTTTAACCCACAGCGCCACCCGCGTCCCTAGATGCCAACAAATCTCAGTGTAGAGGCCTCTGCAGAATTCCTTTAACGTTCATTGCAATGCAGAAAATGGAGGCTGCTTATGTTCCATAGGACAGGGAAGCAGTGAACAATTTTATAGCTTCAGCAAATCTGGATTTACTTAGCACCGGGTGCGGGGAGTGTTGCTGTTTATGGAAGCAGTTGTACCCTATGTTTCAGACCACACATCTGAACTGAATGCTTCTCAAGTTTGCTTCCTGGCTTAAAAGTAGAATTTTCAGATGGGATGAGTGGGGAGAACTCTATGAAAAACCCTTTCAACATATATCTTTCATGGCTGCTTGCTACTGTTCACAGCCATTTCCTCCAACCCCCTGCTGCATTGGCAGCTGTTGTTATTCTTTGTTTCATCACTCCTCAGCCAATCCGAGATCACATACTGCCTACGAGGGATAAGGAAGAAATTTGTTCACTTTGCATTTTTATGTAAACCAACCTAAAACCATGTTTTCTGAACACAGGATCTGAAATGCAACTTTGCCCCTGAAGGCGCACTCTTCCACTGTCTCCCAAGACAGACAGATGCCAGCCAATAAGGATTGGGTGAAGCCAATTTAAAGCTAGGGCAATGCTTCCTGTGCAGGTCACATGTGCGATCCAGCTAATCAATGGACATAATACAATTTCAGCTATTTCACAAAAAGATGAGAAGAAATTGCTGGAAAAATTGCTGAAACAAGAGTCCTTTTTGTTTCTGATTAGAAGTCCAATGATAACAGGATGGGGCCCTTTCAGCTGAGCCCTACACATAAACATGCTTCAAGAGGTAACACCAACAAGTAATGTACTTGGCCGGTCAAATCTGTTTTACGTCCAGCTGGCAGTGAGGAACAGAGATGGCTGAAGTGGGAGTGCTCACTCCTGATGCCAGCTCCTTGAAAATGGTGTCTACCCATTTCGCTGCCGAGACTCATAGATCCCTTTACAAGTACCAACACTCCCAAACAGAAAAAAAACAAAGAAATCAATTATATAAAAGACTGATGCAGTCCAGGCTCAAGCACTTGAATAAAAAGGAATGGGGAGGTTAAGTTTATCAAAATGTTCATGCATCAAACACTTTAAAATAATAAACACTCTGAACAGTATTTATCTGTCTTTATTTTCCTAGTTTAATCTTTTAAGTGTTTGGTAAGGAGTGTCTCAATATTTTCCCCTCCATGAGATATTTTTTATACAAGTAAAAGAAAGTTCAGGACCCAGAATATTATTTTCCAAATAATATTTTCCAAATAATTTCCAGAAATGATGTGAAAATGAGAAGATGGAGCAATATAGAGGTGAAGTGATTAATTTCCACATGTTCTGAAATGTAGACCAATGTTGCACTATACTAGATCATTAGGTTTGGAATCAAAAGTTGACTCTGGGATCCTGTGCTCCATTCCCCAATCCCTTCTCCCTCTGTCATCATTACCTCACCCTGTCTTGACAATGGTTAAGCCTTACATCTTCATTTTTAACTGTAATGAAGGCTAATCAGGTTTCCATTTAATGAGGTTTATTAAACAGGTTTCAGTGGCGACCAAACCATATCATTAACGCAGGTAATGGCCTAACCGGCAATATTTTTATCTTCTCTCACCCTCACAAGCCAACTTTGGCAGGTGTGTGGAGCCACCCACCGGTCAGACAGGTGACTTCATGAAGACATCAGGTGACTGAAAGCTGGGTGGTTCTGCTCACCTGCCAAAGCTAAGCCAAGGGAATGGGGGTCTGCTTCACCAGCATGTTCCCTACAGGAACCCAGTGACAGCAGCTGATGGACAGAAGGACGCTGTACAATTCCCGCTGCAGCAGGAAGGTACATGGTGCTTTGGTACTCATAATGGTGTCTTCTTCTGCCAGAAGACCTGGAAAGCTGTCTGCAGACAAACACCGGCTCCCTTGGCCTGAAAAGAAAGATGAGCACTGCCCCCCACAGTTGCCTTTGATGGGATTTAACCGTCCAGGGGTACTTTACCTTTTTTTTAACCTTTACCTTACAATTCCATGATCCTAAAGTTTGGGGGAAATGGCTATGCTGGCCAACTTGAACCCTGGCTGGAAGTTCCCCACCTCTGCCTTGATATTTCAGATCTTAAGGGAATAAATTGCTATCTAGGAGCTCGAGTGAAATTTACAATAATATTGAGGTCTTCAGTTTCTGATATTCAAGGGTGTCTTCACACTGAAACGAAGGCAAGTTAAGTAGCTGACCTATATTAGCATACCATGTAACCTAGTCAGGTAGGCTATGGAAAACTTATGTGAGTTGGTCACCCAATCATGGGAGTAGGGCATGTTTATGTCGCGTGATAAAGGGTTCATATGGCACATAAACAGAGGAAATGTTCTGGCAGCAGCTGTCTCAGACCAGGGAACAATTCTGCCCTTGGTTAGGAGAAGGAAATGCCAATGGTATCTAGGCATCTTCCTGAACATCTGTATAGTGAGGAATTATCCTAGGATCACAGGCATCAAGTCATAAAGCAAGCTATTTTTATGTATTTATGTTTACATGCTCTGCCCCAAAGACAAATGGTGCTTATTACAAGTGCCCCTGCCTAAATTTATAGTCACAGAACAACTGTGATTTCTTCTGAGCCCATAGCTTGGCTTTTCAGAGTCTTGCAGTTCCATCTGCAGGGAGACTGTCTCCTTGGGCTGTAGATCCAGAAACTTCATAGGCCTCAGCAGGAATCTGGCAAGGCTATAAATATGCTGATCACAGATTATTTCCTTTTTCTACAGAAGCCATGCTTCCCCTGGTGTGAGGATGAAATGCAGCCAATGAATAAAACCCTCTCTCTTTTTTATCCATACTCTGAGTGCGCCCAATACTTAGCACAAGGAAAACCATCTAGTCTTGCTGTACATACCGTATTTTTCACCCTATAGGATGCACCGGCCCATAGGATGCACCTAGATTTTTTTTGGGGGGGGGAATAAAGCCCGAGCTTCCCCCTCCCCCCTCCCCCAGAACGGGACCCAGAGCGATGCCAAAGCTGCGAGCTTGCGGGGCTGGAGGAGGGGGAAGCCCTCCGCCAGCCTTCTAACCAAGTCGGGGGACAGCGGGAAAGGTGCACTGCGCCTCCCGCTGTCCCCCGCGTTTGCGGGGCTAGTGACGGGGAGGAGCAGGCTTTGGAGGGGGAAAAGTGCGTCCTATAGGGTGAAAAATACGGTACTCCATAAAATCTTTAACCAGTCACTATTCTAAAGGCACAAGTATTGTCTCAGTCCAAAAAGCAGGGATTAGGGTACATTCACAAAGCCTCACAGGCTGCAGGATTGCATGGAGACATCTGCTTGGTCACTTGGGCTGTAGCTCAGCGATAGAGCCTGCCTCTTGTGCACAGAATGTCTTATGTTCAGACCCTCGAATCTTCAGGTGGGAATAGGATACTTCTATCGGAAACCCTGGACAGCAAATGCCACCTAGCATGGATATTACTGAGCCAGTATAAAGAGACTTCCTTTATCCCTATATTCACTTCCAG